GGAGGGAGGGAGGGAGGTCTCACGTCTCTCATTTCATTCATTTTCCGAGCCGATTTCTCTCCGCGCACGGCGCAAGGAGGTGTCTGTGCGCACGTCGCACATACCTTCCGTCCGTACGCTCCGTACGTGCGTGCGTGCGTGCGGCTGCACTTGTGGGCGCTGCTGCTGCTGCTGCTGCTGCTGCTTCTGCTGCTGCTGCTGCTTCTGCTGTTGCGCTCGCAAAAGCGTGGGAACCGCGAAACGCAAGCCCAGAGGAGGGCGGTCTGCTTGAAGCGCAAGCAAAGAGAAGAGCGGAAATTCGCGAAAAGTATAACAATCGAAACTCTCGGTGTCTGTCTTTGTAGCTAAAATGTCTAAATCAATCGACTAAACATCACCGCCAGAAACGTCGATACCGTTTGAGATATCGCATGTCGACTATGTGTCGCCACTGTAAAAAGTGGGCAAAAAATCGACGTGGGATGTCAAAGCGATATCGATGCGATATCGCCCAAATTTCGGTGTGGCTCCATTTTTTGCCATGATTTGATTAATAAAGAACGTTTCAGTACATCACCATCATCACTATTGCCGCATCACCGTCACCATCATCTTCATCATCATCAACATCACCATCACCCCCTCTCCCCGCGTTGGTTAGCGACAAAGGGCCCTCCCTGGCCCTCCCGAGCCAATCTGTTGTCCGCCGTCAAGGCCCTCTCCACCCTCTATGACGGCGTCCTGACCCGCGGCCCCACCGCGCCGCTCAAAGGGGGCTCGCGATCCCGTGACGCGTACCTCATCGATCAGTGGGGACTTGTTCGGCGTCAGTGACGGACGGGGTGACGGCTACAGGAGAGTCTAGTGACGCCGACGGCTACCTCTTGGGGGAGCAACAGCGCGTAAAGCGACGACTGAAAATGATCCAACTTCCCACTTTTAAAAAGCAGAAAAACCCGGTGAAATAGTGCCAGAGACAAAGCTTTATAATGACGTACGGTGGTACACACTTGGTTGAGAATTGTGTCTCGAAAGGTATTTTGGGTATTTAAGGAAAAATGACTCAAGATGTCGTTCCGATACTTTCAGATATTATTGAGTCCAAAACAAGTACAGCTGGAGTTCCGGTAGGGATGATTCACATTCATTAGGCTAGGTGAGGTGGTGCGGGACTATAAGGCTGTATCAGCCTAGGAATGATAAACTCAAACAGTGCAGTATGAAAAAGTTGCCATTTTCCAACACATACTTTGTCCCTTTTTACGTGCGATGCTTTTCAAGAGTAAAAGAATGCTCGGGCCCGATGATGCGACACGGAAAAACGGTCTCTGCTCACAAACTATCATTATTATTCGCGCCGATTTGTGCGGAGCGGCAATCAGACAAGCTATCTGATCTGCCCGCGCCGCGCCGCTGTCGTATCGCGCGGCGGGCCGTTTGAACAGCTGCGCCACCTTGTCGCCGATTTGCGCAGGTGATTCGCGCGCAGGTGCCCCAATTCCTTGATAATTTCCGACCCACCAAGAGAAATAAAAAAAAATCCGCCAGCGAGGCTACGGTTTATTTTATTGATGTCATGTTTAAGCACGGGGTGGAAGAATCCACGCGCATTCGGCTCTATGACGTGCGGTTCGTGTATAAATTACACGTTATTTTAGGAGGTGGTATGTGCTTTCTTCACGACGCTACACTCTGAAGGCAGCACAGCAAATATATTTCGGGGAAGTTCCCGGTTGAATCCGGGAAGTAATTTTCCGGATGTTATTTTTCGTCATATCTGTGCATGTTCTAACATTTGGAGCAACCAGAAAATGTACTTCCCGAATCCAACCGGGAAGTTCCCGGAAAAATGTTTGCTGTGAGGGATTTAGAAAATATGCGGTCCCTGGTAACATTTTTTTCTCGATGGAAAACTTATTTTATGACGAACTCGGATCGGCAACTCGAAAGATATTGCGAAAAAAAAGAGGAAAAAACACCCTTTTTGAAATGGAAAATTAACGCGATTTGCGTACTGCCCCTTTACATACATGTGCGTGCCCGGCCTCTGGTCTCTCGTCAAAAGCCAGCGCCTGATCGCCGTCAGTCAGTCAAGGCAACAGCAGCAAAACAAAAGAGTAAACGGCTCGGAAATGGACTTCCGAAAGAGTCAATATTCAGGTTGATGTCATAAACCAGTTTCGATCTGGCTGCTGCCGCCGCCGCCGCTGTACAACAACTTTCTATGTCAGGGTCGCGGGGGGCGCAGTGCAGACCGGGTGGAGGGGGGGGGGGCTGCATAACCTTTGCGTGGCCAGAGTAGTACAAGTACTCACACGGCGGCGCTTCATCGCAAGTGCGCAACAACGGCTGCCTGACCTCTTGACCCCTGATATCAGGCCAGTGGCGGGCAGATGCAAAATATCACAAATTAAAAAACAAAAAAAAAGACAAAAAACAAAGTATGGGCAGCTAAAATCGGTTATCGCTACTAGCGAAATTAATGAGTAAGACCGAGAGACGTTCCCTTGCGCGTGCAAAACTAGTTCCAATAAAGAAAACGAAATTAGTCTTCCAATTTTAACCATTTCTTTAGACCATATATGTGTCAAAAATAAAATTACTTCCTAGTCCTAGGCGGTTTTCGGAACAGTCTTAGCATCTATCACGAAGCATGCGTAAAGGTTTTCAGATTTGCCAATCGTGAGTCTGAACCTCCAGGACCCATAAGGCATGAGTGGAACTTTAGGAAAACTCCAGTCCACTGGGGTGTTATTGACCTCGTAAACTCCCTGTAAATAGAAGCCATCACAGTCTTTACATTTATAACTCTTTTGTGTTTGTAGCCACAACAGTTTTCACTCTTTAACCAGAAAAATAAATATATGTTACAAGTATCGCGATAGAGCAGAGTTGCAGTCTAAGTACTTACTGCTGGCACTGTGCACGCACCTTCATCTTTTCCCTTTAAAACCTGCTTGTAAAATCCAGGAATATTTTCTCTAGCAGCCCGACATGCACTGTTTTTAAAAGTAAAGACAAAGGCGTTTTCCTTCCATTGATTGTTCGATCGAAGATCCACAACTACTTTCGCCTGTTATAACAAGGATTTCTTGTGTAATCAATCGGCATCTACTTTTAAGTGTTTCGATCCAAGTGTATTTGAAATGTCTTACCCACAAGTCGTCACTAAGCGCTTCACCAGCCGTCACATTGCCTGTCAAGCGTTGCAACTCTTTTGGTTTATATGGGTTGAAGTGAGTAGCGCGAATATTCCATCTACAGGGCAGCAGGCGGTTGTTTGGCTCGCACATGTAAAAGTGTTCGCCATAACCAATGTAAGGGCCCTGTTCAAAACATACATGCATATCAATTAAACGTGTCAGAAAACACAGATTTGTCAAAATGACACCAAGTTAGCTTGAACGAAAGAGTTATACGTAGTATCGTAGCGGGCCAGGCACTGCCCTGGGAGGTAGGCAACCCGCCACCACCCGGGGGGGAGCCGCGGCGGGAGGCAGTTCAGAGCGGGTTTGAAGTGGAAGTGGGCAGTCCTGTGTAACTCTTTCGTTCAAAAAGTTAGGTCGATGCCGAGTTATGCTTTACATTGCAATGTCATTTCGGCCTCCAGAAAAATGATAAGCTATAGCGACTAGAGATCCAAAAAAACCGTATTTTTGAAGTGAAAGTAAAAAACCAGTAAAAAACCGAGTAAAAAACAGTAAAAAACTGTTTTTTTGAATTTTCGTCTTGTTAGCAAAATAGTTCCCAGAACGATGTTTTTTTTAAACTCTTTTGATTTAACTGCACTTATAAGTGTAGGACCACAATGTGTACTGCAGTTTAAAGTGTAGGACAGACGTTGTTCCAAGTTAAAAGTGTAGGGCACCATTGTACCTCAGCTATAAGTGTAGTACAAGAGGTGTCCTACACTTTCAACTGCAGGACACGTCCAGTCCTACACTCGTGGGGGCAATAACTCTAAATTTAAGTGTGCACATTAATTCCATGATTCCCGTCGTGATTCTCATTGATTCCCGCTGATTCCCGGGCCGGAGTGTGTGTGTGTACACATGATTCCCAGAGTTATTGCCTCCTCGCCTACACTTTAAACTGCAGTACACTTGGTCCTACACTTACACCAGTACGAGGACACCATGGCACTACACTTAAGTGTGATATTATATGACACTTGAGTTTTCGGAGCACGACTGATTGTCCCATAACAAATGCGATGGGTTGGGTATAGAGAGACTCTGTAGTTGGGTGGTGGGAATCAGCGTGACTTCTTGTAATTGATCATTGATTTTCTCAAGTACATATATCACTGACATGAAGACATACAAGCTTGAAAAATCAAGGATGAAGTACAATTTACTTGGTCTAAGAACTCATTTTGGGGGGATGATGGTGCTCCTTGCAGAAATAATCGGTTGACAGCTATTATTGAGTAAAAAACCGAAAACTGTCCGAGTAAAATACTGTTTTTTACTGAGTTTAAAACTCAAAAAAACAGTTTTTTACTATCCCTTTAGATCTCTAATAGCGACCATCGCACATGGTTAATTCAGGAATCACCATAAATCAGGGACTCGTAACTTATCGTGACACGAACGAATGTTAGTTACTTAACGTAACAAAACACATGTTAAATTAAAAGATTAAGTTACCGATTTTAAAATATGTCCGATATCAATTTGTACATACTGTGGGAAAAAGTTGGACATGTCGAATAACTAACTTATTTCCTAAAAAAGGACTACCACAGTGAGGAATGTCGATATCGATACGATGTCGCTTCGATGCCACTTGTCGTTTGAGGTTTCGTTAAAGATACGAAAGTGGCACCTCAAACGACAAGTGGCATTGAAACGATATCGTTTCGATATCGACAATAAAATCATTCCTCACGGTGTACAGTAAAAGTTACAAGTTATAACTTTAACTCCGTTACGGGCAGTTGAGTAATTTTAATAAGGTGTCCTCCATAAAATTCAGTTGATTGACCACTATTGTGGCTGTGAGAACCAAAAATATGGTTTCCATCACGTTGTCATTGTTTACTCACTCAGCCATATTTCATGGTGCTTTCTGAGCCAACCATAATGGTTGCCTTTTCTAATATTTTTTCTGGGTGGACAAATCCATGATGTTCGTTGTGAAGGTACATTGTTGACAAAATAGCCCAAATTTTGAAGGGGCCTTGAAAAGGGTATTATCCAACTTACCATGAAAGAGTTGAGAACTTTGCTGGGGTTGCCCTCCTGGAACAGGAGGAGTGTCAGGAGCACGAGTTGGAATAACAGGGTGGATCCAGTGTTGCGGGTTTGCATCGTCTCTGCGACAATCCCGAACCGATCTGGCTCAGGCGGCCGAGAGGCAGAAGACGCAATCTGGCTGCTCACACTTCTGTCTGTTGCCGCAGCTCTTCTAGCCCTCGGCCGCGTCCCCCAGGAGACTGGGTGCAGCAAGAGTGCACGCGCGCCCAGTAACCGGCCAACAGCGGCCGGCTGGCGTGCAAACTTTTAACCACACAATAAAGGACCCATACTAGATCGTAAGCAGGATATCACAAACAATACCGCTGTTTACAAAGAAACAAAAATTGGCCGAGCGGCCGGTAACGAAAAAGTCCAGGGGCAATTCCTGGCGCGACGTACGTGGTCATTCGTACGTAAAAACGTTTTTTTCCATTTTCAGACAGTCCCTTGTGGTCTGTCTCTACCCGAAGGTAAAAGTTACCAGTTTTGATAAAGATGGCCGATTAAACGTTCCAGTTTTGATAAGCCGATTGACGTTGATAATGTAGATTCTCTATAGGGGCGGGGGCGGGCGTTTTCTCCGTCCGTCCGTCCGTGGCGTTCTGTTCGTCCCCAGTAGCAGTCCGCTGGCACCGCTCTGGTTGTGTTATAAACATAGCGCCCTCATCCCTTTGCGGGATCCGATCGAAAGCAGGATTTCAAACACAATTCCGCTGTTTACAAAAAAATAAAAAATAAAATAATAAAAAAAAAATGGTCGAGCGGCCGGTAACGAGAAAGTCCAGGGGCAATTCCAGGCGTGACGTACGGACGTTCGTACGTATTTTTTTTTTGTTTATAAGCGTTTCTATATGCGTTACGTTACGTTCCGACGCGCTGCGAACGGAGTGGTCGTGACGTACGGACGAAATTCTCAAAATTAAATCGCGCCCACTTACTAGGCGCAAAGTCGGTGTTTGGTTGTAAGTGGCTGAGTGAGTACGCGACAGTCTTCTCGCTCCGTGCTACCGGTCTCTCGCGCAGGCAGGGGGTGCGTTTATACCCCCGGGTCACCCCTTTCTGACCCCGTTTCCTGGAAACAGAGGGGCGGCTGTCGCGCGAGGAGGGTGACGTGTCGGGGGTCTGTGCCGGGGGTGGTGCGGTGTGGTTCTTGGGCTGCAATGAGAAGCCGTGCCGTGCGCCGGGATCTGATAAAGGCTTCTCGAGTTATGCGGGGCGGGGGTGGAGGGTGGAGCGGGGCGGCCAGGAAGTCACGCGCCCGGGAGGCAGGCAACCACATGGCGGGGGCACGCCAGCGCGGAAGGTCATGAAGGGAAACGAAGGCAAAGTGGCAGTCGGCGTCGTCAGTGGGGGGCAACAACTGCAAAAAGATTAAAATTAAAAGAAATATACTTGCCAGACATGTTGTCAATTTCAAGTCGCATACCGCGCTGTTGAACGGGCCTGCCTTCTGTGGTGGCCTGGCTTTCAAGCTCGCTTTCGGGCACAAGTTCTCTGTACTCGTAAGGTGACGGCTGACCGAGTGGCTGACACGCCCCTGACAGAAATTCATCCCTTACCCACCTACTTCCATGAACATCGACATCACTTCGCGAAACGCGACAGGGATTTTTGCAGGAGGAGCCCTAGCAGAAATCCTCAGGGAATGCCCTGGAGACTCCAGGCGAGCGGGCGGAGAAACTCCAGGTCTCCAGGCGCGCGCGCGCGGGGTGCTGGCGGCCGCTCCAGTGGCGGGCGTCGAGCGGCCGGAGTGCCGAGCGCGGCCCGACAGGCAGCCGAGCGAGTGCGGCCGAGCAGCCGAGCGACCTTCGGCTGGCGGCGGCCCGGCGGCAGCGGTCCTCAGCCTCAGCCAGCAGACAGCAGCTTGCAGTCTGCGCGAGTCCTCGCGCCTGTGTGGAGGGCAACCCCGTACGCGCGCCCGCCTCGCCCCCGACATCTGTTTACGTGCCGCTCGACCTCCCCGTCGTCGTCCTCTTCTGGCGTCCGCGTCGTCCTGGTGGCCCCGCAGTTCCCCTTCCCTCTCCAGCGACCCGCGCTCACCCGCGCTCGCCGACGCCGTTGTCCAGCACCGCCGCGCGCAACAAGTCAGCCGACAAGATGCTGTTCATCCTGCTGCTCGTCGCACTGGTGATGCTGCTGTGAGCGGCGACGACATCAACGGCGTCCTCGCTCGCCAGCACCGACCCCTCCGCGGTGACCCTGCGGGCCGCGGCCACCCACGACGACGACGACGTCCCGCGGCCGCCGCACCCGGAGATCTAAAGTCGGGAGGCGGACCTGCGCAGCGGTGACGCGAGAAAGTGAGGTTAGGTGCGCGGTGCCCGCAGCAGCAGCAGCAGCGCCAGCCGCCGCCAGCCGCCAGCCGCCCCGCCGGTGAATGTGGCACAAGCTGCTCTCCTCATGACACAAATACGGCGGCGCTGCGCACCGGCCCCGCTCTCCGCCGCGCCGCGCCCGCCCGCCGCCGCAGGTGGTTACCCCGCGGAGCAGCGCGTCCTGCCGCCCCTCCTGGAGTAGCCGCCGCCGCCGCCGTCCAAGTGTCCGGCAGCGGTCCGTAACTCGAGCTTGTCGCCGGCCTGTCACGCCGCCTGTCGACGACGGCCGTCTTCTCCAGCACATCCCCAGCGTTCCGCGTCAAAGTGGCAGCAGCAGTAGCAACGTCACCGCCGCCGTAGTACGGCGTCGTCGTCGTCGTCGACTCCGTAGTCGCCGACGCCGGGGGACGGACCCGCCCGCGGAGTTGTCCAGGACTCGTCGGCGGCTGTCCAGGATCACCTGCTCCAGGACGCGCAGCAGGAGGATGTGCGCGGAACGATGACGGGCGACACCGTCTCTCTCCTCGGCAGGCCGCAGCGACACTCGACGAGGTAGGCGGCCAGCCCAGTCCGGGGCGATGTGACGCTTAGGGACAGGACTTTCAAGGAGACTCCAGAAATATTCCAAGTATCTCGTCATGGTCTCTCCGTCGCCATCCGTCCGTCTGTCCCGACCTGTTCTTAAGATTTCCAGAGAGTCTCGAGTAAGGGGCCGGCCTCTGTGGAGACTTCTCCAGGAACTTCTCCAGAGACTACGTAGCCGCAGAGACTAAGAGACGCGCCAGAGACTTTAATAACTCTCCAAAAATCTGCACGGACTCTCCTGAGAATCTCCCCAAAAATCTCTAGAGAATCTCTAGAGACTCTCCAGAGACACTCCAGAGACTCTCCCCGAGACTGTAGAAATTCTAGGAAGGAACACTCTCCTGCACCTGAAGCTCTCCAGGGACTTCAACATAATTGTCCCTCCGGTCTCTTTTAGACACGCTCCATCGAGGTTTGCAGGCACTTTTGCAGGCGCGGGGGCGGTAGCTCGGTTTGTTTTGCACTGAGGCACCGGAAGTTTGTCGCCGACGATAGTCGCTCGGCTATCAGCCTCGTGTCCCTCAATGCGGGGGCGGCTCAAGTCTCTCCTCTCTCTCGCCTCTGTACTCTTTCGCACACGAAGGAAATGATTGCAGCTACTGTTGCCCCGGTGTGTTCCTAGCGCTGGCCCACTTTCAGACCTATCTTCCTCGGCCCCGCGCTGCGTTTAGACAAATCTAAAAATGATGGATAACTGGGAACGCCC